CTGTTTTTGTTTTGGCCTCAGCACAGCAGGTAGAGTAGGGCTCATCTGGTCCAGAATGGGGCATCTACCCTGTGCATTGAAGACCTCACTGTAAAGGCCCCAGATATACCATGGTAGTTGACGTGCCCTGTTAGACTGAAAAGAACCACTATGAGGCTGAGTTACTTGGCATATCCTCTTAATGTTGTTGCTTATGGCATGTCCTCTTCTTGGACTTCAAACTTAGGCTGCTCCTTTTGGGATCCCTCTTCTGTGTTGGCATGCTGAACCTGAAATTAAATTTTGCTTCCAGTTTGGAATGGATTCTGTTATGCGTTTCTTGTGATCTTCCTCTTAGATGTTTCTGGTACTATCTTCAGCTGGTGGAGTATCCCTGAGCAACCCGTTACAGTCAAAGTTGGCTCAAACTAGCTTTTTTACTCTTTGAGAACCATCAGACAACAACAGGATGCAACGAGGAAGTCTGTAGGGAGGATTTAAGTTTTGAGACAAAGGCTTAGGTTATGCTCTTGTTGAAGCTCAGACTTAGCAGTAGGCTTTATCTGTAGAGACCCATTGTGTGTCCACGTTAGGACTGCAAATCTGCAGTGACTCCACTGAGGCCAGAAGTGCTGATGTAGATTTGCATGAGTGCAGAAGAGTCAGAATGTGACCTATAATTGGAGGTCATTGAGAAATTAAAAAGGGTATGGCTCATCAGTGGCATTAGGACTGTGCAGTTGCTTTTCTAGCTGTTTCACCCATCAGTCATCAGTTGCAGATTTGCAGGGCAAATTGCATTTGTTGTATCTTTAGCAATTCTTATAGCTCATGTCACGGCTCAGAGGGCAGCAAAACTTATTTCAAAGGAAAAAGGGCACAGAGAAATTCAAGCTTATTTTTAGGGCCATTCGGTTTTAAACTTCTGTTGTTGTGCTAAACGCGTTAATTTAGCTCCTTGGCTCACAAGCAAAGCTGAAACCCGTTTTGGATGGCGTTGGTCTGGTGTTTTTGGATGCTGGAGCCTCCATTATCTCACGTCATATGCCTTGGTGTTCAGAGATTTGCCACAAGTGATCTTGGTGTGGCTGTAAGCACCTTGTGGGTAGTTGTGCGATGACACAGGCCCCCGCCTTTGGCACAAATTGATTAAGCCGTGCATTGTTGGGGGTGCAGGGGAGCACTGCTAGTAATAAATAACCACCTTTTTCACATCCCATGCTAGTAATAAATAACCACCTTTTTCACATCCCATGTATAACATTTGTGTCAGAAGCAATCCAGCAGCATCGTAACGTCCCCTTGTGTCTTTGCAAGCAGGCAGAGCAGAGTAGAAACTGCTCTTCGTTATGCTGATGCCTGTGGCTGCCCTCAGGAATGGAGAATGCTAAACCACCTTAGACCCCCAGGTATGAGGCGTTTTGGAGAGCCAGGCAAGCCCTTGAAGACAAGGACTGTCTCTGACTCCCTCTCTAAGTAGCACTGTCACACAGGCAATGATCGTGCCTTACAGTGTTTGGAACAGAAGGAAATGCATTTGTCTGCAATCATGATGCTTTGGTAGGGCCCTTTGGTCTGAGGATCTCAAACAGCTTTGTGCATATCAATCGATTAAGCCTTGCTTTGCCCTTCCAGAGAGAGAAATATTATTGTCCTGGAGGGAGCCTGAGGCACAAAGAAGTGAAGTGACTAGTCCAGCAGAGAGGAAGGGGGTGGCAGAGCAGAGGCTACAGTCCAGGGTTTCTAGCACCCTCTGCACAGACATCAGCTGATAGAGGATGCTGTTTCTCACCTAGGAGGAGTCTAACACTTCAGAGGGCTGAGCAAGACTCTTACTGTGTAATGAGTGTGGAACGGAGCAACATTTTGCCCCGTTGTATCAGTCTTAGGTTGTAGTTCCATTTTCCAGTGTCCTGCCTTACTGTGTTCTCTGCTTGTTCCATTCTTGAGACTGTCCTGCTTAGATGTTGTTGTTTGGGCCAGTGTGTTCCTCTCTGGGTCAAGCAATCCCTCTGTAGTTGCTAAATGCATGGGGACACAAGTAGAATTTGAATCCAGGCTTTGGAAGTAACAAAATGGCCGTATAGGAACCTAAATAATGAGCTACTCTTGTGGAAAAACTTTTTTGGTGAAAGCAAGGCAGTGACATACACATTCCAAACTCTTAGAATTTGGGGATATAGCAGGGGTCGGGTCAAACGAGTTTATTCAAACGAGTACTTACTGAGACTTGCATAAGAGGGGGGAGAGGGAGAAGGCAAAGAAGAAGCCAGCCCCCAGTGGCCTTGAAAGCAATCCACAAGCAACTGCTGTCTCCCTGCTGATGGATTTGCTGTCACCTCTCCCTGGCATGAGGTGACAGATTTCTCTGTCGGATGAAGCCAGAACCAATAGCCATCCGTCACTGTGAGGACAGACAGGAATAGGAAGGAGGCATGGAGGGGGAGGTAGAAAGCCCTGGCAAAATGTTTCCCCACCATCCTTCCTTGTCAGTGCTGGGTCATGGGGAAGTAGGTCTTGCCACGTACTGAGCATGGGAATAGGAGTGCTTGTCACTGAAAGGTTGGCGAGGTCTGAGTCTGGGAACAGAAGCTGTCTTCAGAAGGGAGGGACATCTACTTGGGATACTTGTTCTTGGGATTTTTATTACCATATTATATCATACTGCACTGTATTATCCAGTCACGGAGGAAAGGCTCCTAGAGCTGCTGGTGTTTTTGGCCTGTCCTTTGCAAGTGATAGGTCATAGCAGATGGAAGGGCAAGTCACTGCTGGGTTGCACCCTGGCCAAGAGTCTGCCGAAAGGCTTGCCAGCTCTGCCTCCCCCTATGCGCAAGCAGCAGAGCCAGAGCCCAGGAACTCTCTGGGGCGCCCCGGGTGCAAGAGGCTTATGTTCCTTCTGTCTCTTTGTGAATTGTAGAGATACAGTTCTGTAGTTAAAGCTCCCTGTCTAGCCTTTTCACTCCTTAAGTGCAGTTTCAAAGCTGAAAACAAGACAAACTGCCCACTCGGAGCTATGTTGTTGGGCAGAAGAAAATGCTTCTCCATTTCTGTGCACTGTTTTCACCGGTAGGCTGAGTTGCTTTTATTTACTCCAGCATGGATATATATCAGGAGAGGGAACGAGGAGGAGAAAGAAGTGATTCTTTCAGCAGGGGTGCCTGAGCCCCTCAAAAGCTACAAAAGGTATATGATATTAACAGTGCAGAACTTTTTTGTCCTCTAAATGCACATGACTTGCAAAAAAAATAAGATTGCAGTTAGTGGGGTAACATGATACAGAAAAGCTGTGCCCAGGCTCCAGGCCTGACCGCAGCAAAGGAATTTTTTCCTGCCTCTTGCTTCTTCTGGGTATGTCCTGTTACACATACTTGCAAGATTGTCAAGCCATGCCCCATCCTTAATGCCTAGTATTATTTCTCCGTTCAGGTCATCCTGAGCTTTGGCCCGTGAAGGCTGCCGTTCTCTTATCTCTGAGAATCTCCTAAGAGTTGAGAGGTGGGTGGTGGGTCAGGGTCTTTCATCCTTCTGTCCGTCCTTCCTCCATAGGCCTCTCCGATGCTGCAAATTTCCTCCTTTCCCCAGTGCGTGATACATGTCATGCGTGAGCTGAGGTGGGGCTGTGCAGTGTGGTGGAGTGCCAGGCAGGATCTTGTACTTTGTGATCCCCAGCTATGTCCAGCGCCTTTAAAGTGGCTCCAGTCTCTCCTCAGACTCTGTATTGTTCCCAGCTTTGGGTTGTGACAGCACCTGCTGCCCATGTTTGTCTCTTGGTACCTTTGCAGCGTTTTTTTGCCTGGTATTTAAATCTTCTTACCTCGCACCTAATTTTAGCCTTTTCGCTTTTGAGTGTCCTGATAGATGGTGCTTATCTAAAATGCTCAGCCAACCGCCCCTCCACATGGCCCTTGAGCCCCTGGAAGAGTTTGGAGCCTCATCCTTGGGAGTAGTTTCTGTCAATGTGGGAAACGGCGAAGCGAGATCTGTGATTTTGTAGAAAGAGCTTGAATTTGACAGAGACTGTCTTCTTGCCTGGAAGACAGAACCTGAAAGTTGGTGGGCCCTCTGTGTTGGGCAGGCTAATTCCCAGGAAGAGGGTGGTTCACACCTTCTGTAACTTTATTGGGAACATCGGTGACTTAGACCTTTAATTCACTCAGGCATCTTTGGGGTAGCAGGAGGATGGGAGCAAGGAGGGGCTGGAAAAACTACTTTTTCACAGATTCACAACACAGGAATACTTTTGCTGTCTAGAGGAACAGAGAGTTTGTCACCAGGGAGAGACTGGAAAAACTCGGTTTATTTAGTCGGTAAAGGCTGAGAGGGAAAATGATTCTTCTCTATAAGTATCTTAGCTGGATTACACACCAGCAAAGGAGCAGAATTTATGGTACAAACTGGACATGAGCGTTCTAGCTGGAAGTATTGCCTGATTCATGGCTGATATTTGGGGCTGTGAAGTTGTAGAGGAATCTCCAAGTGCGTTGTAAGAAATCCAACTTGATTTTAAAATGAAGCTTGGTCAGTTTTTGAAAGATAAGTATGCAGCATGTATCTCTGATGGGACAGGCTGGAAGCACAAACACTGGAGGTCCTTTTCTGTCTTGTATGACTCTTCTTCCTGATGAAATAACTGTAACTTCTAGGTTTTGACAATCCACATGTCAAGTGTAGGTTAACATCAAGCAGGCTTGGAATGTGTCTTTTGCATCTGGACAAAATCTAGATATATACTTCTTTATATAGCTGACAAGAGAGAAATGTTTCTCTCTCTTTTCTTGCCAGTTTCCTGAAACATTTAAAAAAAAAAAAAATCCCTTTAATGAATTCAAGTAAAATCTGTTCCTATTTTTACTCACTTCTAAGATGAGATGTCAGTGAATGATACCATTTCAGCCTGTGGTTTAAGATGACTGTGAACTTATTTTGTTTTCTAACATGTTAAATTCCTCTTTTAAATCTGTTAGTTTTGACTCCAAAATTAAATTCTATTCTCCTTCTCATAGGACCTACAAGAGAAGACTGTGCAGTATTCGTCAGTGCCCTCTGATGGCTGCCCTCCAGTGAAATGGAATGACTTAGTTCTCAGAGCTGGTATGGAAGAGCGCATCTAAGGAAATGACCCACAGAATCTGTATTGATTTAATGCAGCTTAAGAAAAAAAAAAAGAAAGAAAGAAAACCAAAAAAACCCCGCATGGTTCTGAAGAAAGGATGGCTAACAAACCCAGATAGGCCAGGTATGTGGAAGGCCTAACCATCCCATAAAGGGACAAATAGATGGGTTATTAAGCAGGTTAGGCGTCTAACTCCTATCTAAAGCTGACAGGAGTTAGGCACTTCATTCATTTAGATGTCTGGCTAAATCCTGTGAAGCCTCAGTCCTTTGACATCCAAACACCTTTGTAAATCCGGCGCAAAAATCTATATATGAGGTATTTATTTCTAAGTTGCTCCTACAAAGAGCCAAGAGGGAAAAAAACTAAGCATTTTGTTGAAAAGTAAAGAGCACAAGCATGTTCCTTTAACCTGAATTAGTATGCATAAAGCTTGGGCTGCTGCTGCTGAAGCTTTGCCTGCTCGCAGGCCTGAGACTTACATCTGTTTTTTCATTTGTGATAGGCTGATGTGCTTTGACACTGCACCCCTTTGAGAAGCTACCAACAGGCAGTGTCAATATTTCCTTCTGAAAAAAAAAATCCCCACTATCTAAAAAGTTGTTTTATAACATGCTTTTCAGAATTAATTTGCTGAGCATGAAGGCTGGAAGCCTCCACCTGGAAAAAATGTGGTTCCACATTCAGCTTCTGTATTCCCTGCATCCCTGTAGTCCTTTTTCTGTTGTCCTTCCTTTTTTCTCCTGCTCTTCAGAAAAGAAAGAGAATGTGAATATCCGCTGTCATTCATGGCAGTGGCTGGCCTAGGTTAGTGTCTAGTTAGGTCAGTGTCTAAGCCAGGCTGCTGTGTCATCAACTGGAAGTGTTCCAAATTTCAGGAGTCAGACACCCAAAACCTTGAGACTGGCAGGAAAGTCAGGAAAATTAAATGCAGATATTTAGGGGACTGTTTCTTTTATTGTCTGCTTATTTTGTTTTCTTTTACTTCTTGGCTTTGACATGCTATCAGTTACCCTTTCAAATTTTTCTAGGAACTCATAAGGGCTAGGTATTCTCCTTTAAAGTGAGAAAGACATGGGTCTCGGACATAAGCACTTGACTCCAGGAGTGAAGGCTTTGTGAAAACAACTAAATATCAGAAGACTTGTGTGATTAAATCACAAGTGTTGACAGCAGCTGAGGTGTGTTTTCCCCGGGGCTCTGGCAGTGCTATTGAGGGAGGTGAATTCACACTACTGTTTTCCTTACCACCTGGACAATTCTGTCCATTGAAAGAAAATGAGAAAGGAGACAAATCCATCCTGACTCCCACCAGTAACAGGCACACACTTTTAACATCATCTGTGGGATTGCTCATTGCCAGCCCTGGTGAAATACCTGTTCGATTGCTTGGGAGTCCTTTTCACTGAGCTCCTATAATCCCCTTGGTAGTAAGCTAACTGAAAAGACAACTCTTATTATCCTTGCCTTTATTTCAGTTATGTGTGCAAGGGTTGAATTCGCCCTTTTGCAAAGGGCTGAGGTGAAGGTCTTGAGCTGGGTTTATATGGAGCGTCAAATAGTGCATTGTTTAGCAGTGCACAGTTTGCCCTTAGAGGAGTCTTGCTGAATTAGCAGCATTGGATTATCCACGTATTGTGCTATTTTACCCTTAAACAGACTTTCAATGAGCTGACCAAAGTCAACTTTGTGAGTCTTTAATGGCTGGGATTTGGAGACTATGCAGGGAGATTGTAAAGACCAGCATCACATTAGTGACTTTATAGTCTTCAGCAGCAGTTACTGTGAAGCTGTGTCGGCTAGTCCATCACTGGAGACTTTATTCCCTTCTTAACTTGCAGCTGAATACCATCTGGCCTAGGTGATTTACTGTCCCTGAGTTCCTCTGCTTGGTCCATAACTTCCTCCTTGGAGATTTCGGTGTCTGCTAAGGCCGTGTTCTGATTCCCCATGAAAAGGGTTTTTGGAATAGGAATCTCTCCATTGTCCTCTGCAGCAAAGGAGGAGACAAGAAATGCAATTAACTTCCCTACTACTTTCTTTTAAGGGGACTAAGTACTTATAATCATGCGTACATCCTTCTTGCTTCTTATTTATGTATTCTTCTGGCTTAGGGGAGTCTTTATTGTTGGGAATATTTCTTTTTGTGTTTTCCTATTATCTACTTTAATTTCCTTTTTGAATCTCTTATGGCACAGATTATATTCTAAATGGCGCACGTTATAAGGAGACAATTGTCTTTCTCAAGGATGCTAAGAAAATTCCGTACTTACTCTCTGAACTGTCCTGATTTTACTCTACTTCCCTTGAATCCCATATATGCAAGCTTCTGCTACATATATGCAAGTTCTATCCTAAGTGACATGCCAATCAATATGATGGTGGTTAATTTTTTTTTTCCCCCTTTCCTTCCATCCTTCTGTCTGTCTGTCCTTCCTTTTTCTTTTAGGTAGTTGACTGAGGCAGAAGGGCCTACAAAATCCGATCATTACTGCATCTGTACGTTGTTTCATTTTAAACAGTACTGCAGTACAATCCCAGTATTTTTTCCTCCTACAATTTTTATTTTATGTTGACTGGGATAAGTGAATCCCCAGTACCCACACCAAACAAAACAATGACAACTAGACACCCCACCTCCAGCATCCACGTTTCTCATTGTGAGGAAGAGCTAAGAACATTTTTGGTTGTGTGGCTAAGCGCTTCCATGCCACCTCCTGCAGAAATACCTAAAAGGGCCAGGCCTGGATGCTCTCTGGATGCTGATCCCGATGGCTCTGGATACATCTGTTCTGGGCTATGCTGTGCAGTGCCAGGCAGAACTCTTCCTACCTCTGAATGATCTAATCTTGAGTAGGAAGGGAGAGACAGAGTGCCTGTCAGAGAGGTACTCCGCCCCAGATAATTACCTAATTACCTGAGAGGTAGGGTTAATTAACCTGGGCGGATGGCCACAGTCATGACTGTGCTGCTTCTGGGAACTGAGCTGGTCTCTTTGTCTGCTTTGTGCTGTGTGGATGGCTAGCTCATGTGGGGCCAGCTGCGGTATTTCTATTCAGAAGTGCTCTGCCATCCCCTTAATGTATCAGGAGCTCATGAAGGCTGAATTAACTTCCACTATGGTTTCATGGTGACTTAATGATCTCTTTGTTACAGGTGGAGAACTGAGGTACAGGACAATTAGGGACTCTATCAAAGTCACCTAGGAATTCTCTGGGAGAGCTGGGGAGTGAAGCCAGCGTTTCCTATCTGTGATCTAACCACAAAACTTCCTTTCTTCTCTTTTGAAGTACTGTGGACAGGTATATTGGCTGGGAAGCTGCACCCCAAGGATGACTGGATGCAAGTCATTGTGTGTGGGGTGCCAGGTGATTAACGCTTGCAAACTGTGGGTTCATTCAAAGTTTTTTCGACAAACCCTCACTGTGGCATCTCAGCTCTGTTCAACTGCGGGAATGAGATTAAAGGTGAAGTTTCAGCCCAGAGCTCATCCTCAGGCAGGACAGAAAATAGAACCGAGTGAGTTCTCTGGGTTTTTACCCACCCTGGAGATGCTCTGTGGGCCAGAATGTCACTTCTGATTGTGTCTGTGCTGTGCTCTCATCCTTTCTCATTAACCCCTTCCCCTGTGTGCACCCTGCAGACTGCGCAGCTCTCTGCCCTGCAGCCGATGTGGCTGCTAAGAGAATCTTTCTTTGTGCTACTCTGCCCAGGAATCCTCAGTTTGTGGATTCCCTGCTCTTCTCTCACAGCTCTCCTCTAGTCTACCCTGCTTTATATTATTTACATTTTAACTGCTTGGCGGCTCTTCTTTCTGCCTTGTCCAAGGCAGTGCCAGCACTCTTGCTAACATAAAATATTATTCCTTTTCAATATACCCTTAAAGCCCA